TATATATCTTTTATAGATGGTAGAATATTATTTTGATAAGGGATCACAAATTATTATGCCAAAACTTATCGATGAAATTAAATCACAACAAATGGGTGGAAAAGAAAAAAAGAATTTAGTAGAAGGAATTTTACATGCTATCAAACCTGCAAATAAGGTAAGATAAGCTATAATGAATACTTAATTTCAATGTTAAAATATGTAATATTTGTTCCTGTAATTAATTAAACATGTGTTGAAAATGAAAATATTTGATCATTCTAATTCATTCTTAATGAAATGTTTAGTAAAAAATTTATTCCAAATAAAGTTTATCTTTATGTGAGGAGAAAGTTAGAGGGAAATTATTCTAGTTAAAATAAAATGATATAAGTAGTTTAATTTAAGTCTTTGATTATTGTATGTAAACATTCCTGCTTATGGAAGCATTTTTATAGTACATAAGATAATCATTTGTCACGTTTTTTTTTTTTTTTTTCTTGTTTTCATTGGTTAGTAAGTGATTTGCAAACATTTTATAACTTCTTGCTTGTTTACGTATAATCTGAGCTATGAGAAAAAAAAATATTAGCAAAAGTCTAAAACACTTTATATGTTTTCCTTTTTTTTAGTTTCAAAATTAATCTCATATTACTTAATCTAAGTTAAGTATTACTACGATAATGATGCTAACTTTCTCCACTCTTTTTGCGTACTGATTTAAAAGCCCTGAAATAGATTAATACATCACTAATATGTTAATTAGATCAATAAATCATGAAATGATTTTACTTGTAAAAATTCATTTAAAATTCTTAATTAATAATTTTTTTTTCGACTTTAATCCTTAACAGTGAATTAAAGAAAATATGATTGATGAAGAATTTTCTAGGTTTTATATATAACATTTCCAATTCGACTTGATAATGGTGAATATGAAATGATAGAAGCTTGGCGAGCACAGCATAGCGAACATCGTACACCTACTAAAGGTGGTATCCGATATGCACCTGATGTATGTGAGGATGAAGTACGAGCTTTATCTGCACTAATGACTTATAAATGTTCCGTTTCTGATGTACCATTTGGTGGAGCTAAAGGTTTAAATTTTAATACATATCTTTATCTATATCTTTATTATATAGTATAATGAAATGGAGAAATTTAGCATGTCATTAAAATTTAAAGAGTTGATAATATTTGTCGTAAATGCTTTTAAGTTAAAATTAAAACTCAAAATTATGATTTGAAAGCAGATTTGAGGTGAATTTTGTCAATGTTTAATAAGTGAGAAAAAAATTTTTTTTTTGTAAGGTGGTGTAAAAATTGATCCAAAAAAATATACGGAATATGAAGTCGAGAAAATTACACGTCGTGTAGCAATTGAATTTGCCAAGAAAGGATTTTTGGGACCAGGTGTTGATGTGCCAGCTCCAGATATGGGAACAGGTGAACGAGAAATGGGGTGGATTGCGGATACCTATGCTCAAACAGTGGGACATTTGGAAAATGATGCATCAGCTTGCGTTACTGGAAAACCAATCGTAGCTGGAGGTATAAATCTTTTTTTAATAGTTTTTTTTTTGATCGAACAGAATTTATTGTATAGTTTGGTTTTCATTTTATTCTTCAAACTTCAATTTCATTTGTAATTACTGTTCATATATTTTGCAATTCAGGAATACATGGACGTACATCAGCTACTGGACGAGGAGTATGGAAAGGTTTGGAAGTATTTTTGAATAACGAGGAGTATATGTCACGAGTAGGATTGACACCTGGCTATGAGGGAAAGACATTCATCGTACAGGTAGTTTTTATCTCCTATCCATTCATCCTTAAATAATTTAAAACTTTTGAAGTGTTCAAACTGGTGCTAAAAAAGTGAGGACTGTCATATTTGGAGCTTATCTTTACTGAATTCTCATTTAAACTTATTTCTTCTATTCTAGGGATTTGGAAATGTTGGTTTGCATACTACTCGATATTTCCATCGATCTGGAGCAAAATGTATTGGTGTACAGGAATATAATTGCTCCATTTATAATCCAGACGGGATTCATCCACGAGAATTGGAAGACTATCTCATCGAACATGGCACTATCAAAGTATTGATGTAGTTTCACATAGTTAATTATTAATTGAAAAATCATATGTCAAACATCTGAAAGGAGAGAGAGTAGCGAATAAATCGGTCATGATAGTAAAGAGTTACATTGATATTATTAGTCAGTCGTATTTCATTTGAAAAAGATAATTTGAGTGAAATTGTTTTGAAAATATTTGTTACCTAAATATTTTCAAAAAGTCAAATTTCTCTTTCAAAAAAAAAGAGATAAATTTGAAGTAGATCTCCTCATTTCTAATGCAGATTTAAATTAAATAGCTGACATTAAGAATATTAAGCATTTTCTAGGAACTTAAAAATACGTGAATGACATTTTGTATCTTTGTGTTAATCTAGGTTTTGTGGTTCATTGTTTCGCTTTCAGAATAATTCACTATATTATTTATGATTTATATCATTTCTGTATTATTTATTCCAATGAAATTGAATTTCTACTTCCAGGGCTTTCCAAAAGCAAGAGCTTATGAACCATTCAGTGATCTCATGTATGAAAAATGTGATATATTCGTACCAGCAGCGTGCGAGAAGGTTATTCACAAGGAGAATGCTGAGAAAATTCAAGCGAAAGTAACAATTATTTAATATTAGCGTGGCAGTTTTTCATTTTAGAGTTAAACAATAAACTTTAAAAATTTCTTCCAAATTAACAAGTGTTACATTTACAGATAATAGCAGAAGCAGCTAATGGACCAACAACACCAGCTGGTGATAAGATATTGTTAGCTCGTGGTGATTGTCTTATCGTGCCTGATTTGTTTGTGAATGCAGGCGGTGTTACAGTTTCTTATTTCGAATGGTTGAAAAATTTGAATCATGTCAGTTTTGGGCGTTTAACATTCAAGCACGAAAAAGATTCCAATTATCATTTGCTTGGTTAGCCTTTTGTAATAAATTTTGTAGGGTATTTTTTTCCTAGGTATTTTAATCATTTTCCATGTTATTCACAGTGTGATGAAGTGTCTGGGAATAGATATAAAAAGTGAAAAATCTTTTCATCAATTTTATTGAAATTTGATCGACTGTGTCAATATAACAATGCAGAAATAGCAAGCTTTGTGGATTTTTTTCAATAGCGAATCCTAACTTTTTCGAATTTTCTAAATTTTTCTTGCCATTTTTTTAAAGATAGTGTACAAGAATCATTGAAACGGTCACTCAACAAAGATGTGAAAATTGAACCAACACTTGAATTCAAAAATCGTATCGCAGGTGCATCAGAAAAGGATATTGTAAATTCAGGCTTAGAATATTCGATGCAACGTTCAGGTAAAGTATTTTTTGATCATACACCTTAATAAAATTTACAACATATCAATGTCCACTGAAGCAAATATAAAATATAAGAATGTATCAATTTTTCTAAGTATAAAGAAAAAAAAAAGTCCTTTCAGCAAAAGCAGTGATCGCTACAGCACACAAATACAACTTAGATTTGGATATTCGTACAGCAGCATATGCAAATGCAATCGAGAAAATCTATCAAACATATAGAACCTTAGGATTTACCTTTACGTGATTTCTGATTCAGAATCTGTTTCCTAGGTAAAATAAATATTGAATTTCGTTGTTTTTGCGGTGAAAAAAAGAAACATTCTCATCACTTGCTGCATCTCTTCTTTCATTTTTTTATTTCTGTCCGGTTTCTAATTTAATTGAAAATACAGGAAAGATTAATTACATGGGACTATATTATCTTAAGCAATGCTCGAATAATTGTTATTCTTTTATATCATTTTTTGATTTTTGATTGATTTTTGCTGATAACAGTAAGAAATATGACATACTTGTTTTCTTCGTCTAGGTACTAAAACAATATATTAATATTCGTATGATATTGTAATAATTGTTGAAGTATAAGAGAATAAATGAACAAAATGGAAAGGGACATAATTAGAATTACTAAAATTACTCAAACATTTTATTGAATGATATTATCGAGGATATATAAATTAGAAACGTGTGTTCTATTTCATATTTCCCTATTTCGAAAAATTTTCGTTGATCGTTTTGTGTCCAGATGCTTTTGTAAGGCATTATTGTAAATTGAATATCAGTGTTTTACATTTTTTTTTTTTTTTTTTTGTTATAATTGCCAAGAATTAAATTAAATGCTACTGGGTTTTTAAGAATTTCAAATTCACTTATCGATAAAATAGGAAAACCAATTCCAATATCTAAATTATGATATGATGAAATGATTGCCGTAAAAAGCAAGGCGTGTGTAAAATTCGGATGATTTTGTGGAAACGACAATTACAAATTTGTTGTAATTTAGTTTAGATAAATGTAGGTTGATTTAAATTTTACTGAGACAACTTATTGATTCAATTAGTATTAGTAACAATAAGTATTATTTAGTGCGCTAATAATTTTGTCCTTAAGTGATCATTTAGGTGTGGTGGATTTTGCTTCATTCACTTGTGCATTTATATACTCTAAAGCTATACCTGCTTATTATCGCAACTAAGTTACTAATGGATTTAACTTGCAGTGGAATAAATATTTTGAATTTAGAAAATATAATAGGAAAAGCATCGAATCCCCTCAAATGTACGCTTGCCCTCCTCATTGGTAGTGTTGAAGTTTTGAAAGTTCATTCCTTGGGATGTGCCTGTTGCGTTGCGTTGCTTGGTCGGTTATGTCAGAGTTGCATAAAAAATCAATAGTTAATAGTTTCGTTGTGTCGGTTGATTTAGGTTGTAGGTTGGTTGGTTGCGTATATGTTGTTTGGCCGTTTCTTAAGGTGTGAGTTGACGTGCATACTTTGCGTGTTTTCAGTTTCATACGTTAGCCTTTTACATTTTTGTTACCAGTAAATCTTTTTTAGGTTACAAAGTTTATTTAACATTGCTTTTGTCACGTGGTTACTTGGAAGTAGTGTCAAGGAAGAATAATGGACGAAGATCAGTTGTTGGACTATGAGGAAGAGCAAGAAGAAACGACTGATGGCAACAAAACAGAAAATGGATCAGCAACAGATAAGAAAATTAAGGTATCTTTTTTTTTCTTTTTTTTTGTTTTAAACTGCCATTCATAACGATTTCAGATGGAGCGAAATTTTGCTGGTTTTTAGCTACTTTCTAAGTTTATTCGATTAGAAAATTAATTTAGTCCGATCGTGGAATCAATTGTATTTGAAAGTCAAGTTTGACTGAAGAATTTCTATGGTATTCAGAATTTTTATAGGGTAGTTGTATCGTTGTTATTTTCTTTTATATTGTCGGATGAAATGGCGATTCTGGTTTAGCAGCGAAAGGGCATTGTCAGGGATAATGGAGTGATTAGTTCGATGAGAAATTTAATTATTACTTGCATTAGTCAATTAAGAATGTTCCTTTATTTCAGGGCACTTATGCTTCCATTCATAGTAGTGGTTTTCGAGATTTTCTCTTGAAACCGGAGCTGCTGCGGGCAATTGTGGATTGTGGTTTTGAACATCCTTCAGAAGGTATGTATTTCTGTTTAGCAGGTGTCGAAAATCTTTGATTGTATGATATTTGGTGCGGGTGAAAACATTTATTGTTGCAGTTGCATATAAATAAATTCTTTGCTCTCAGTGAGAGGCAGATAACTGTGCAAGAAATTTCAGTGCAACATGAATGCATTCCGCAAGCTATTTTGGGCATGGATATTGTTTGTCAAGCAAAATCGGGAATGGGCAAAACAGCTGTATTTGTTCTGGCAACTCTGCAGCAACTTGAACCTGTCGATGGCGAGGTGAGTCTTATATTTTGCATTACCAAGATGTCCACTTTTTATATAAAATTTGAAATTGAAAAAAGACATAACATGTTTCATAAATATGATTACAACTTTTATGTGGTATTTGCTTTGCAGAAGAATTGAAAATTATGAAGATCACAAATTATTATAAAGATTTTGCAGTGGATTATGAAAATTATGAAGATTCTGCAGTGGAGATATTTTCCGTCTTTTTCAGGTGTCCGTTTTGGTAATGTGTCATACCCGCGAGTTGGCATTCCAGATTTCGAAGGAATATGAACGATTCAGTAAATACATTCCTGGTGTTCGTATTGCTGTCTTCTTTGGTGGCATACCAATCAAAAAGGATGAAGAGACACTTAAAAACAATACACCACACATCGTTGTTGGAACTCCTGGCCGTACGCTCCAACTAGCTCGACAGGGAAGCTTGAAATTGAAGAACATCAAATATTTCGTTTTGGATGAATGCGACAAAATGATTGGTGATAATGGTTGGTTTTTGTCTTTTTCTTTCTTTTATTTGAAGCGAATGAGCATGCTGTATAACATATGACGAGGTTATTTTAGATATGAGACGAGACGTTCAAGAAATTGTGAAAATGACGCCGCAAGAGAAACAAGTGATGATGTTCAGCGCTACGTTACCAAGGGATTTACGAGTGGTCTGCAAGAAATTTATGCAAGATGTAAGATTTTCTGGTGCAAGCAGCAACACACACAAAACACCTGTACACTATACGCTTTGATGGGATGTCAAGTGAATACCAGCTGGTTGCTGATGGATACATAAATCCTGCCGCTGTACATTGAATTCACGTCGGAAAAATTACTCGAAGAGCTTTGCTCCCAGCAAATCTGTTCTGTTTTGGTTCAGCTACTGCAATGCCTTTTCCCTAAATGCTACCAAATTGCGTTTAACCCTCTTTCCTTAAACATTAATTTTCATGGTTCCCCATTTGACTATATAATTGGATTACGGAGTGGATTTCCTGGAAGGTAAGCTATTTTCATTATCTTGTCACGTGCATATTATTATGTTAATTTGAAGAGAGGCTGAAAATTATTGCATGTTGCTGACTTACATGTCTCTTGATGCAATCAAACGTTTACAGTTATGTTTTTTTTTTTTCGGAATTCAAGTTGTTGCCTTGTACTGTTGATACTCATCCAGTTCAAAATTGATAAATTTCAGGTTTCCTTCCGAGATCTACTCCTGAAGAAGGAATCGACATGGCGCACTTCGTATGGCGTTGCATGTGCCAGTTGAAAATTTTTGGCGCAGCAATTTTGCAGTAATTTATATTCGTGGTGTGGAAAGCCTTGCGGTTTTTTTTTTTGTACGAACCCAAAGCAGGCACTCTGCTATATTTATTTTTAACATAAAAGAAACCTTTAATATAGGTAATAAAACATGAACATGAAATCAGAGGTCCGCGACATTCAATCTAGCGATTTTCACAGCATGTTAACTGTGAATACCATGATTTCTCAGAAAATAAAGCAAAATTTGTCATTTGGTTCAGTAAACTGTAACAGTCAGTGACGATGATGTGTCAATGGTTTTTTAAATGATTTTTTAGCGATTTATATAGACAGATTTTTCAGCCAATGGAAGTGTATGTCGATGATGAAGCAAAGTTAACACTGCATGGATTGCAACAGCATTACGTGAAACTGAAGGAAACTGAGAAGAATAAGAAATTGCTTGAATTACTTGACCAACTGGAATTCAATCAAGTAAATATTAAAAATAGAGTTAGGAAAGCAAGTTGTGTATGTTGTATCGCAAAGTTAATTTTAAGCATTAAGAGTAATTTTTCCTGATCTAACAGTGGTCGTAGAAGCTGTCAAGATTTATCGGTAGCTGAGATCCCTTTGTAGTATTATCGTTTTATATCTGCACTTTTCAGGTTGTGATTTTTGTGCGATCAGTACAACGCTGTGGCGCTTTGCATACTTTGCTCTCTGAACAGAATTTTCCAAGCATTGCAATTCATCGTGGTATGCCACAAGAGGAGCGCCTTTCTCGATATCAGCAATTCAAGGATTTCCAGGTATTTTGAAGTCCACGAGTACCACTTTTGCTTATTCTCAATTAAATTTGCCAGTGATGCATGAAATGATGTATTGATAAAAATAGTGATAGTTGCATCATTCGTCACTACCACTGAGGCATTCATGACTGATAAGGTGGAAGAGACAATTCGTGACAATTGTGGTTTCATTCTTATTCTTTTAGAAACGTATTCTTGTTGCGACGAATCTTTTTGGTCGTGGTATGGATATTGAACGCGTGAATATTGTGTTCAATTATGATATGCCGGAAGATTCAGATACGTATTTGCATAGAGTATGATTTTTTGCTCTTTTTCACTTTCACTCAGTTTATAGATATGCTTCCTTAAATTAGCCTTTTCAACGAATTTTACAAAATTAACTCAATACATTTGCGCAAGAAATTGAAGTTTCGCTTATCATCTGGTAAATGAATTCAAGAGGAATTTTAAATGAATATTGGCATACTGAGTTACAGGTAGCACGTGCTGGACGTTTCGGTACCAAAGGTTTGGCGATAACATTTGTCTCCGATGAAAATGATGCGAAAATTCTGAATGATGTACAGGACAGGTTTGATGTGAATGTTACTGAGTTACCGGCTGAAATCGAAGTTGCAACATACAGTGAGTTTTACTTTTAGTCTTTCCATATTTCAGTACACTTTGATATATGACATAATGGGATTGGATTATTCACTTTTTTTATGTTAGATGTTTTCAAATATAGTTTGACTGGACTTCACTTTTCCAATTATGTTTCTAGCTTATCTTCCATTCAATTTCAGTTGAGGGACGAGCTAATTGAAGCGGCGTGAATTATTTGCTGTATTTGGCGGCCTTGAAAGAACGCTGCAAAAAAAGTTGTTGCTGTTAAAGAAACATTTCTCTTCATTGTAGTAGTGTTTCTGTTTGTCAATGATTGTTTTCTTATTAAACCTATATTACAGTTGTTTCAAGAGATATTTTTCCTTTTTTATTTACCTTTGATAATTATTGTATCATTACATTTTTCAGTACTGTTTGGAAAATAAATTTGTACTGTTAAAAAATTTTGATGTGAGAGCTATACAGAGCTGTGTATATATATCATCAGATCAAGAGAATATAGGGTGTTTTTGTTCAAATAGATCAGTTATCAAGTAAACTTGGCTGTATTTTAGAAACGTTTATAACGAAAGATTTACAGTGGTCATAAAATGGATGTAAATTATTCTAGGAAAGAATCATGGTAGGTATTGTCAGAGTTATCCAAAGCGTTTATACTTGCTTGAGATCAAAAGACATCTTTAGTTGCAGTTCACTCTTTCAGGATTTCTGTGCTAATCAATATGATTGGATGATGTAATTGTGGTGTTTCATTCATCACTTCAATTAAATGGCTTTAGTGCTACTGATGGGTATACCGGGTTCCGGTAAGACATACCTATGTAGAGAATTGAAAGAGAAATTTGGCGATGAGATTTGTGCTACGTTCTCGTACGATGACATCTTCAATGATGATGGTTTTATGAAGTACATATGGGGTAGCGAATATACCGATAAAAGTATGCTACAACTATATGATTTAGATGAAAGTACAAATGCTCATAGTGAACGGAAAAGATGTGAAAATCGAGTAAGAGAATTTTTGAAAGTAAAGTTATCAACTGAGAATATCATACCACCGGTAACTGTAGTGGATGATATATTTTATTTAAAAAGTATGCGAAGACCTTTCCGTCGAATGTCAACAATGTTTCATCTTCCGTTTCTAGTTGTGGTAGTAGATGTACCACTTACTATAGCTCTAGAACGGAATATGCAACGTCCGATGAAGCGTCGCATTTCGGAGGATACCATTCGAAAAATTAATCAACAAATGGAATTACCATCAAATGATGATAGTAGTTTTATCATCTATCAATCAACGAATGATTTGCAACCATTAGTTGAACATATTGATCATATTAGATGGAAAAAAAATCTATGGATTATTTCAAATAATATTAGGTCAAAGATATCTAAGGAAAATGATGAAATATCATCAAAAGATGGAAAATGGATGAAATTAGAGCTTGATTTGCGTAAATGTATTAGTGAATTAATTCGAGAGAAAAAAATCGGTAAGAATGGTGATGTATTAGCTAAAATAAAGAAAAATCTCTATTGGAGAATACGAACAAAAGATGTAATTAATTGGGATATGGAAGAATTAAAAAATATTTTATGGAAAGAATATCAGGTAATCGTTTAACAATTGATTTTCAGCATTTCTTAGTGTTTCAGACTCAAATCTTATCCAAATATTGAATTTGACTAAAAAATTAACGTTGAGCCTTGACTTGACTTCAAAATACAATTCATTGCGGTGAACAATAAACAGAAAAAAAGAACAATTACCTCATTGAGAATAGTTAAAGCATTATTTTTATCGTAATGGTTTTTTAATTCCCAATTTTCTTTTCTTTAATTTTGTTTAATTCTGTTCTGTTTTATAAATGGAAAAATCTTTCAACAGTAAAATCAGTCATTCATTCAAATAATCATTAATATTTATCTCTTTTCCCATTTTATCATCGATTATTATTTATTATGATTTCCTCATTTCCTTTACTTTTTTTCTTTTATTTCAGGAATCTTAGAATATTATTGCTTTAAAGAAGATAAATGAATGTTTAATTCATTAAATTGATATTATCTAATGCGAATAACAAAACGATAAATATTTAGACTACTGATGATTATGTATTATTTAATAATGATTAAATCATCTCAATTTGCTTCATGCTTATTTTTTAACATTTATTTATCATTTTTTTCTTTCTTTTGTTTTTCGTTGTTATAAAAGTATATACTGCCAAGTCGGAATATTACTAATGATAAAATATTATCAAATACTCTGTTCTCATCATTTGAAACAATTAAAATGAAAAAATACGTATACATATATATGGAGTAAATGATTTCGCTTTACCTCTTCCCCTAAAATTCATTCTTTCCGTTCTTCTTCCTCCTCCCTTCCTTTTCTTCCTATTCCTATCTTTTTCTTGAATTTTTAGTCTTACTCTTCGGAAAAAATGTAAAGAGAGAATTTCATATGTGTTTATATAATTTGATATATATATATATATAAGTAGAGGAGGACACCATAAGGCGGGTAGAGGAGGGAGAGGGGAGGAGAGGGGTATAGTGAATGGAGAGAGGGAGGGAAGGGTTTGTACCCCTTCCTTTCCTGGTTTCCCTTTCCCCTTACATAGTGATCGATTCGTCATCGTTGCTTTTATCGCTTCACCCGAGCGACCCCTCTGTTTCCTCCTCTCATCCCCATCCCTCCTGCATCAACGTTTGCTAAAGGAGGAGAATGAGGAGAGTGGTGTTTTGTTCCTATAATATGTTTTCTAGAGAGATGGAACAAGGGGCGGGTAACGAGAGGAAAGGGAAAGAAACGGCGGGCGGATAGGAGGGACTGAAGAGTAGTAGTAATCTTTGTGATGTAAGGGGGGAAGGAGGAAGCCTCTTGTAGTAATAATGATAGTATATGGGTATGAGTACGTGCATGAGTAAGGGTAAAGGTAAGGGTGGTGAGGAGTTATGTGGGGAGGAAGAGGGGCGCAAACGTTCCCAGAAATAGGTGGTGGAAAAAAAGGGGCAAAAACAAATCGACTCGCAAAGTATCTTCCCCCCGCCTCTTCTCCACTTTTCCATTCATTCATCGTTTTCCCCGTTTCTCTTCTTTTGCGCACACTTTTCCTGTCCCCTTTACCCCCGCCCCTAATACCACCTTTCCCTCTCATTCCATCTCTCCCCTTATTCTTCATAACGATGGTGATTGAACAAACTCGTAAATTTTCATCCAATTTTTTCCCCTTTCTATAATTTATACAACCTTTTTAATTTTTTTTCAAATAAAGTAATGATAATTAATTAATTAGTATTATTTACTAAATTCAGGAAAAAAAATAGTTTTTGTGTTTGTGTTCATTTAAACAAATAAAATAGTAATATTGTGTTATCAAATTTCTTTCAACTCTGAAACATTTTTAAAATCACAGATTTATTTTGCTATCGGTATAGTTTTGAACACTTATATGCCAATTTGTGAAATGACAAATGGTTCGATGATTGATTGATTCATTGGTCGATTAGTTGATTGATTGATTGATTGATTGATTGGTTGTCGTGTTGATATCTTTGCATGCTAGTTTAATCAACACATGGTCGATATGCATAAATATGCCATTTAATTCATTCATTTAATCCATTTACCCTAGTAAACGAGAGATTTTCTACAGTGCTATAATTTAAAATTTATGATTTTCCTAGAATGCCTATTTATATATATAAGGAGAGTAAATTTAATTATGAAAAATGTCATTTTTTTTTGGAATAAGATTAAATTGGATTAAGAAAAGGTCATTTTCCGATTAGTACTGGGATTTACTTTTTTTTTTGTATAGCTATTTACATTATAATTAGGTGATTGACTGATTGATTTTGATTGAATACATTCATATATTTGCATTCATATAAATATATTAGTGCTTTAATTAAACATCAAATTAGTATAACAAATTAATATGAACAAAGCAAAAAAAGGAAAAGAAGTGGAAATTTTTGAAAAGAAAGAAGTACTTCCAGTCATCTGATATTTTCATTATTAAAAATTCGTAGTTTCTTTTTGGAATTTAATTAATTTTAATACATAAAATATGCTTATATAATATTATCTGAAATGAAATCTTTAGACTTTCTTCCTTTTTCTTTCTTTCATCTCTTTTTTTTATTAGTTCGAACATTAATTTTTAACCTTGACGGCAATATCAAAATCTCAAGGCTTTTCATTTATATCTATAATTTATTATCGTTCTACAGCCCAGCTTGTTTTCTGCTTGGGCCTACTTTTTCTTTTTGCCAAAGCATTTTTACAAAAAAAAAGGCAGCGAAATTAGCGGAATACACTTCTCTGCTTAGGTCCCTATACACTTAGCTCTTAATTGCATTTCCACTTTTTTGCAATTTCACATGCGTAGACATAGATAGACACGGACACGCACATACACACGTGTACAGACACACACACACATACACACATACACACACACACATACATACATACACACACATATATATATATATAAATGCACATACACAAGTACATGCCAACATACACACATAAAATGCATATATTTTCCAAAAATTTAAACTGAACACATAGCATACGCATGTGCACGTGCACACATACGCATGCAACGTACACACACACACGCACACATAAATATGCATACACAGGTACATGCAAACATACATACATATACACATACATAAATACACGCACATATACATTCCAAAAATTTAAATCGAACACGTACACATACACACGTACGTACGTAGTGTGTAGCCGTAAATCGCTGACTGTTATGTCCGGTTAAGTTTGTACATCTGTGCCACTACTGATAGTATTCGCTTATAGTATTATGCATATCCTGAAATGCTGACATGTTCAGTTTGAAGCAGCTTTTCATTAATCATTTATATTAATTTTTATTTGATATAATTTACTATCCTATACTATCGATCATAGTTGAGCTGAACAAAGGAAGAATTGTATTTTGCATAAATTATATAAAAGGATTAATTAGAATATTACTTATATAATTAACAGATTTGTTATTATCAAGTAATTATAAATGATTACAAAATTAAATTAAGTGAAGGAATCAATCATAAAGAATAGTTGTGAAAATAAATTTGAGTTAGATAATTACAGGAATAGATTTGAATAGCGAAAATATTTATATCGTCAATTTGGGTAACTGATTGTAGTGTATAAAATAAATAATAATTTTAAAAAAGCAGTAGTCCTACTGGTTTGATTAATTGAAAAATCAGATGGATTTTTTGAAAATAAAACGAATTATTTTATATGGTATATTAGATAAATGATATTTTGCGTAAAGATAAATTATTTTTTTTTTTTTTGCTTTAATATAATCAGTTTCACATCTGACCAGGCTTGTATTTCCATTTTAAGCTTGGGAATTTCAGCACAAATTTAATCATTTCAAAAGTTCGTGTTGTATCAGAAAAAATAGTATAGCAATTTTAATTAGTAATATCTTAGATGAAATATTCAACAAATGAGCTATAATCAACTGATTTTCAAAAATAAACGAATATTTTGTTATCATTTATCATTTGTTATAATTCATTATGATCATTATTTTGCAAATGTTACAGTCAAGAATTAACTATTTAAACATATTTGTGTATATCTAACTAATTCTTTATTAATTAATCTTTTTTAAATTAATTTCTTTCCTTTGTAATTTTGGGATAAAATATAAATATATTTACTGTATATCAATTAAACAAAAAAAAAAGTATTTCAAAAGTACGTTTAAAATGTAATTGAGTCATTATTACTTTTGTTTTGTTTTTTTTTTTTTTTTTTTTTGATTTATTTTTAATTTTTATTCATATTGGAAATTATTTTATTACTGTTATTATTATATGAGCAGAATGAAAATGGTAGATACAGTGGTAGCAGTTATGGAAACTGTTAAATCACCAATATCATTATCATCAACAATGGAAACTATGCAACAACAACGACAACAAGAGCAACAACAAAAGGATAGTAGTGTTAAATCACTTGATTTACAATGTGATGAAGAATTTGATGAAATATTGGCTGAGAGGCCTAGTACTAGCTATAATCATTTACATCATCATCATCATCAACAACAACAACAACAACAGCAGCAGCACAATTCAACTAATAATCATATATCGATAAGCAATGGTGAAACAATTGACAATTGCGCTATTGTTGATTCACCTTGTAAGTTATTGGAAACTTTTCATTCTAACTTATATTTAACATATTTGCAATCTGTGTTTATAATGAACAACTAAATTAATTGGATTGAAAATTGTAGTTAGGTATTAATGAATATTATTTGTTTCATAAGTTAATGAAGGTAAAATTTGTGGTTAAATGCCATTCAATAAATTTGTATGCCTGATTTTATATGGCGTAAAATTGTTAATTACCTAACTACGACAATTTCAGTATGTTAAATGTTTATGAGTTTGTGTAGTGACTGTTACCAACGTTATGACAGATTAACTGAGTGAGCGATAGATGGAAAGTAATTAAGTATTGTTGCTGAAATAATTTAGTTCGTACTAATGAATTAATTATTTAATCGTTCCTAATTAATGAAACGAAAAATTTGCTTCTCTTTGGTCTGCCAAGAAATTAAATTCAAAATTTCAGAAAAAAAGGATTTTTCAGAAATTGCTTAAAATATTTTCAAATATAGCATTATTTTTTAATGATGGATGAATGATTAAATTAAGAATATCAAATGTTTCAGATTTCTAAATAACAATTTTTCTTTGTAATATTTTACATTTTATCTTACTGATAAAAGTAGACAAATTGCCGTGTAAAAAAAGTTATCATGAAATTATCATTTCATTTTTTTTCAGTGAGATATTTAATGTGTATGTATTTGTAACCAAATTCTCTATCATTATAACTTATCTCTTTCTAGAAATAAATTATTGGAGGTTATTCTTTGTTATAAAATATATATTAAAATATAAGATTATAATTATTTGCTTAATTATTTATTATAGAATAACAGTGACAATAAGTTATTCTGATAGTATAATTTTTTTTTATTTATTTTTATTTTTTTCGTTTTTATAGTATTTAACAAAATGAAACGCCAATGGCGAAATTATGGTTGGTATAAATCATGTGAAGAAATGGATGAAGTACGTCGACGTGAGAAAGTATCAAAACGTAAAAGTGTTACATCAGTTCATGGCACAAAAGTTTTTTATCGTTGTAACAATTGGAGACGTACGAGATGTAATTTTCGAATGTATGCGATTATTTTTACATCTGATAAAATGTGCTTATTTGCAAGTGGTGAACACGATCATACTGCTAAAGATCCATATTATGTTACGGATGTTATTCCACGTAAGTAATTTTTTTTTTCTCAGGAAAAAATTTTTGTTTATATGTTTATCATTTATTGCTGTCATACAGTTATCACTAAAGATAGCTGTTTATTATCCTTATTAACTAGTGATTTTACCATCAAAAATAACAAAAGTAGTTATCCGATTGTCATCAGAAAAATCATTAACTATAATACGTACTGTTTATTTATCATCAAAGATAAGATGTTATTATCGGCATATATTTAATCATTTTATCATTATCAATAGTACAGTGCTATGGTAGGATGCGAAATGATTATAGATTCAATGTGCGTAACATAATTTAATTTAAATTTATGTATTAAAATTTCTTTTCGTAAATTTCATCGTATTTCACTCAATGAAGCCGTATTTAATAAAAAGAAAAAAAAAAGGAACGAAAAGAATAATTATGAAATTTGAAATAAGTTTATTTTGAACGGTTGTAATATGAAAGAGATGGTAACACCTGATAACGATCAATTTCATACCATTTTTAATCTTAAGCTTATCTATCCATTATCCAGAGAAGTGTACCAGTTATTCTGAATGTGTGTTCAATAATTTTAACATTCATTTAATGTTATGTGAATATTCTAATTCTTTTTGAGTATTGATTATCGATCATATAAATATGAATTATGTTCATTAGCTCGTATTTTTTGTCTTTATACTTATTAAGAATGAACTATAAAACATGAACTGCTATTTATCCTTGTATATGTATTCTAACATTTTACAGAAGCGGAAAAAAATTTTGAAATAACACCTCAATCTACTACACAGCAAGATATCCTTACACAGTTTGTCCTAAATGCTACAGCGAATTTACCGTTTGGTGCCAATTCGGAAGTAGTTCATTTTTTTTGTTCATCTTTCGATACTTATTATTTTAAAATAATAATGATTATAAACAATAATAGTAAAGTAAGACCTAAGATCTTATGAGCTAACATTTTTTATCATTTTGATCTAAGAGGACAAATTGTTATTTTTTTTACATGACCCACCAAATCAATTGTATTAAAATTTCGAACATCAATAATAGAATAATACGATCTTATGTTATTTGAAAATGGATTAGCTAATTACTGTAATGTCCAAATATTAAGTTCTTTTTGTTGTATTTAATGAGAGAATTCTTAATTTTAGTCAACTTCACAGCAGTTATTGTCTTATCAACCTCCGACATATCAATTAGCGGATGAGCAAAGAATAACAGGAATGCTTCAGTTAGCAATGGAAATTGATCATAAATTCACCTTCATTCAACGGTAGAATATACATTTTTTTTTTCTTGCATAAAATAATGTTAGCATTTGTATAGTTAAAGGAAATTTTGAAAGAGAAAAAGGGTGAATTGACGTTATCAATAAATTATTAACAATTTGAAGGAGAAATTGGCATTTTTTAACATATTTCTTTCATTGTTATTGATTGAGGCCATTTATATGTAAATTAGCGAAGTGTTAATTGATGCTGAGACAAAATGTTATCAGACAATTTTGTTTAGTAGCTGATAATTATTTCACTTTTAGGAATAATGAATTCTGTTTCGAGCCAAACAATCCTGCACTGAAAGGAAGAAGTGTTGTATTATTGGATGGTGGAACAGTGGTACTTGTAATTGAAAGATTTAATGGAATGGAATTGAGGTATATTTTTTATATTAATTGTTTTATTATTAATAATTCAATTTATTTAGTATGTAATTTATGAAAGTATTCATTAATTCTCTATTGAAGAAAAAAAAAATTTTCCAATGGGATGATAAGAAGCAGACATTTTGAAACATTTTCAAATTTCGCATACTTCTAATAACAAATTATGCAAAGATTGGGTTGCCAAAAATTTTTTTTCGCATTTTAATCTCTTATACACTTCATCTATATCATATAATGCAAAATCAATTAGGTTGAATAATTTATCAAATATCAGTTATCATTTTCAGTCGCGAAATATGGCAAAAAGCATATTGGAATCAGTTTCTTTGGGCTGTTCGAGGAAAATGTATGCGCGTATTATATCAGAATTTTAAGGAACCAGCTTGTTTATAATATAAATTTAAGAAATCATTTTTAATTACTTAATTTTCAGTTTGCTTATGCTGATAAATAATTCATCTTTTTCACTTTCTCATTTTGTTTCTCATCGAACAGCTCGGTAAATTTTGATGCTGTTTTTTTTTTTTCATTTCTTGTTTGTATATCTTTCTTACTTTTGCATGTTTTTATCTTTGTAAACAAGCAAAAAAAAAAAAGGAATTATCCATCAACACGGGGTAAGATATCAGGTTTATGGTTTTTTTTTCCTTTTTTTATATCATTATTTATGTTTATGTATTTGAAATTCCATTCATAAAGTTATAACATATTGAAATATTGTTAGATGTATCATAGGAGTGAGTATAATTCACATTTCTAATGAGATTTTATTGATAATTTAAATAAGTTTCGGAAATTTGAACTTTTCAGAAGAAATGCAAATAATGTGTAATATAAATTGAGGATTTGTTTCACTGGTTATCCTATTTTTTTGAATGTCTTTCTCAATAATACGTGTATTGCGACATTTGCCGTTTTATTTTACTTTTTTCCTTTTATTTTTCTTTTACCGAACAAATGCTTTATATGGTATAATTTTATATCGTCTTTCCAACACTCTGATGAATTAAAATTCCACGAACATTTTATTGGCATTTTATTGGTTTATTAATGTGGCATAAACAGTTATACTAAATGAATGCAGTGGAACATTCTTCATTTTTGAACTATTTTATCACAGATTAGCTATGCAGTGATATGATAGCAAAAGGTTTTTCAAGGAATCCATTGATACGAGCAAAATCAAGGAAACCATTGATTACGAGTACTAGAAGTGGTTGTTTAAATTTATGTATATTATCCTAATAGTAGCAAACAAAACAAATAATAGTGATAATGATGATAGTAATAATAATAGTGATGTAATAATGGTAATAATGATAATGATAGTAATAATAATAGTGGTAATATAATAAATAAATAGTAAATAACAATAATAATAATCGGTCGGGGATACCGTAATATGTAATATGCATATGCTATCTCTCAAGTATTTCAATTAAAAATTGTTTATTACTGATCAATCATAATTGTTTTACCAATTGGTCTTCAATTATTTATTCAATTTAAACTATAACTCACACAATTTTTCATTCTTCTTAAGTGAATTGTTGTGGATGAAATCATACTGTCTGGTAAATTTCTATTGATTCATGAAAATCTTTCATTTGAAATTAGCTTATTGTTTTCTCGCTTTTCCTCTTCTTCTCTCTGCTTCTCTCTCATCGTAATTTCCATAAGTGATAACTTCTCCCAGTTTACCTTTAAATATTTATGTTCAAACTAAAATCCTTCTGTTTTCTCTTCTACTTCAAATAATTTTTTTCATTTAAGTTCATTGAATCCTTAATTTTTGTTTTTTTTTTTTTTTCAAAGTTGTTTTGATTTCTAACAAATAAATAAAAATAAAATCTTTTATAACTTCAAGAAATCTGATGAGAAAATTTCTTAGACGAAGAAACTATCGTTGTATTGTATTATATTTTTTAAGCATCCTTATATATATTTCATTATTTACCGGAAATTAATTAAATAATCATTCAAGCAAATCTTCTTGTCTCTTTGTAGTTTCGCTCTTTCTTCTTCTGCAATATTTTAAACTTAGAAAATTTTATGTTTGAAATACTTATATAAAATATTTTAGAAAGAAACTGTTAACGAATAATATGTGTCATCATTTCATGATTTTAGTTATTTTATCAGTATTTTTTCAGTTATTTAAATTACAAACTAAAAATTATTACAAACATGAATGTATGCTACATTTCTATATGTAGCTCTTTTATTCAAAATTTGAAATTTGAGTGAAATAATTTCAAAAAGTTTTTGTTTAAAAGTAAATTTCAGGATTAGCTGTACGCAAGAAATATGCACTTCATTTCTTTTTTTGCTTATTCTTTGCTGTTGTTCAGAAAATTCAATTTTGCAAATGATTTGATTGACCGATGTAGACACATGATATTATCATTTTTACTTGAAATTAAATAAATCAGGAATGAGATGTAAAATGAGAAATATTAACAACAACAATAATTTGAACATCATAATTATCAGTGTAATCGGAAATTTTATCCGATTAAATCAGAAAATATGGGCAAGAAATATAATAGCACGAAAAATACAATAATCAAACAAATATCACATTAATTTCATCCAATTCTAATTAATTATACACCCTTCTCATTTTTTCATTTGCTTATCTTCTTCTGATATAAATTATTATCGGTATTGCCTTATCATTTCTCACTGGAATGAATCATTCTGCAAGATTATCTATTTCTGTTTCACTATCATCACCGTTATCATTATCAGTCTCATCATGCATATCTGCTAATTTGTCCATTGTTATTTCGTCATGCAATATTTCGTTATCTTTGCTAATCATTTCATCGTTATGATCATTATCGAAAAAATCATCTTCCAGATCATCCATATTAATCTCACTTACACTTATCTAAATTAATGAAATAAAATTTAATTTGATAATTTTACCGTAAAATTTGTAATCACTTTCAATCATTAAAGCTGATAAGATTTAGATCAATTTCAATATTGATAACTGCTAAATGTCATTAGTAAAAAGTTAATTTATTACTTATTATGAGAGAGATATGATGAATTTAAGCATAGGAATATTTTTAAAACTTACCAATCCATCATTTATTATATGATTTTCAGTATCGATAAGATCATCTTTTAATATGATTTCCGATAACTGTTGTTCATTTGTGCTGATTTCCGATAATTTTCCTAATTTTTTTTTGCTTTTTAGGTTTTAGAAAAAAAAATGAATCATATTAAGCTTATGAAAAAAAAATAAAAGTTGTAAATAATTTTGCTATTACGAAGACTCCATATAGCTTATTTGTTTACTTATTGAAAAAAGAAAAATTAAAAGTTTCATTTTCCTTTTTTTCCCAAAGAGATAAACTAAACAACAGTAATAGCTTTGCCAGAAAAACTGGAAAAAAATGAATTAATTGGACGATTGAAATATGAATAAAGACAGAATTTTTTTAAAAATTATTATTTTTCACCTTTTTTTGCTTTAATTTCTTTTCATACAAAGTATTTTTGACAAAAAAAAAAAAAAAAAAGAAATCGAATAAAATTGAATAAGTCAATGATTATAAGTCAATTAATATTAGCAAGAAAATAATTTAATCACCTGATCCGCTATCACTATGATAGGATTTTGAGGTAATTGGAATAAGCCATGTAATAAGCATGGAAGAAATAAATATAACAGCAAACATTTTATTGCCAAAATGAATTTATTATTTAAACCCTTGCATACATTCATTTATATATTTGTTTCATTTTGTTGCATTTTCAATTATTCAAAGATATTATTTCTTTAGCTATTATCATTTACAATTTTTTTATCTTTAATTTTTGATCATTCTAGTAATTGTAGCAATAATATTAAATATAAAATTTTATGACTGAAACAAACTTTAGACCTTTTTTTATTACATTTTCTATTGGTAAAAATTTAATGTTATAAAATAAACAATTTATAAGTAATGCAAATATTTACCACTTTAATGTAACGTATACATAAAAAAAAAAAAGAAACGTATTCGAAAACTTATGTAATAATAATATCTGTATGCTTAATTAAGTTAACATAGCTTAATTATATAGCATAATATTTAAAAAAAAAAAAAAAAAAACATTGTTTTAACCACTATTTTGCATATTTTAAAGTTCTGATTCCTTTTCTTCCCTTTATTCATTAAAAAAAAAATTGAAATCTAGTTTCAAAATAAAAATTGCATTTCATATTCCTGTTTTTATTTTGAATTACGATTAAAGTATATAATGCACGTGAAATACACAAAAAATTTATTTTACTATAGCAGTGATATAAACGATTAGCATTTTTCATTCAAAAATTTATGTTTCAAATAAAATTAGACAGATAACTAATTTAATCTTTTGTCAAATTAAACAATCAGTATTTTTTACTATTATATTATATTGTTTTTAAAATTTCCGTTTTTATTTATTCAAAATCTTTTTTCTTCTACGGAAATATGAAACAATTTTAAATAACATTTTATATTTGAAAGTTTTTTTTCTTTTAATTGAGTATTTATACAACAATGCTACACATCCATCTTGTTAAAACTATGCAAATTAGATCACTTTTATTACTATATTATATATAGTTTAACTGAACTAGCGTAACTTAAATGATTAATAAAGGTAAACGATAATGCATTTTTCCAAAAACAATTTAGAAATATACTACTGTTTTTGAACGTTTCCCTTTTTTTTTTTTTTATATTTCTTCCTCTGTTTATTAATACTTAATTATATCATCGTGTTACTTATTAATCTTTATGATTACGTGCTATCTTACTATTACGTTTTCCAACTTGCAACATTATTCACTTTTACGTTATCAGTTTGCAATCCATGGAGTTATTAGTTAATTTTTAACGAATTTAGCATAATACATTTTATATCGTGCATAATCATTTATATTATCATGTTATCATCAATGAATAATCATTGAATGACTGTTGTCAACTATTATTTGATCAAAGTCAATGATATAATTGATATTAATTTAAAAAAAAAAAAAAGGAAAGAATTAGTCAACTGTCATCTATCATTTCATTTAATATCGTCGTGTATTATTCGTGCATTTCACGTGAAATTGTACACTTTTCGTCTCATTTAAACGTGCAACAAAGTTCATATATCATTAAATTTGTATTTATTATTAAGGAAAATGAATGGAAAATTTTGACATTTATTTTCATAATATTTCTTCCTGCTGACGTTTTACAAGATTTTAAAACATAATTTCATATCCTTGTATGCAAAAAAAAAAACACGTAAATATTATAATAATTATTTGTGTTAAAATAAAAAAAAATTTTTTAAGAAGGCAAATAAAATAATTTAATACTTTTAGGTTCAAAAAAAAAAAAAAAAATACG